ACCAGGGCATCATCTCTTGCCAAAAAGTGTGAGCAAGGTTAAACTGTTTTTCTTGAAATAGTCAAAGAGTTCCCATATCTTGGATCAAATACTGATCAGAACGGGGACTGCAGTCAAGAAATCAGATAATGGCTAGGAATGGGAAAGGGCAGCCATGAAAGAACGAAACAAGATCCTAACTCTGAACACTAAAGTGAGGATTGTCCAAGCCACTGTATTCCGCTATCTTCATGTACAGATGTGAGAGCTGGACAGTAGTGCATAGAAAGAAAACCAACTCATTCGAGATGTGGTGCTGGAGAAGAGTGCTGAGGATACTGGGGATGGCCAAGAAGACACACAAATGGGTCCTTGAACAGATCAAGCTTGAAATCTCCCTGGAAGCCGAGATGACTAAATTGAGGTACTGTCGTTCTTTGGCCACATCATGAGAAGGCATGACTCACTAGAAAAGACAATGATGCTAGGAAAGGTGGAGGGCAGTAGAAAGAGAAGAAGATTGCATTCCAGATAGACGGACTCAACCAAGGAGGTCATGGGCCTAAATCTGCACAACGGTTTGAGGATATGGAGATGTCTCATCACACAGTTGAATTGAGGGCAGTTAACAACAACAGTATACTCATGTGTAAGTTTAGAAATTTAGTAAAAAGTTTGAGCTTCAACTTATCTATGAGTCACATCAACATCCAAAATCTGGCCTTGACATATAAATTAAGCTGATTTATAATAAGTACATATGTTACGTTTGTTTATCTTTTCCTTGTTTACTCTTGCATTTTGTAAGATGAGAGAGCTCTGTGGTCACGTCAAACAGCCCAAATCAATCTTCTTCAGGTGTAAGAAGATATTTCTTATCCCATTTAACATGAAGCGAGTTAGTGGGGTTTTTCCCCCCCCTTCCAAATTGCAGATGGAACGTGTCATCTGCCTGAAGATTCATAGTTTGCTGGCTTAGATCACAGTTGGTCAAATGGTGGCCCATGGGCTAGAGGCAGTCCCCTGCCACCTCCCAAGCCCCCATGTCTCCAAAATGGGAAAGAAAGAATCATCCAAAAATGGTCCAAAGCCACCCCATGTGTGAATTTCTGCCTTTTGCATGGGATACTGTTGCATTACCTTTTGTGGTCTAGGGACCACTGTATTGGTTCCCCCCACATCTACATAACCAACTTACTAAGGGGATGTTGAGCTTTTGTAGTTTGCTTTTACTATAATGTAGAAGCATAGTATATTTTTTTTCTGTACAGTTGGCTCTCTTTATCCACGGAACTTTTTATCCACAGATTCAACCATCCACAGCTCGAAAATATTTTTAAAAATATATACATTCCGAAGCTGACTGAAATGAAAGAAATGGATAGACTAACTGCCCTGTTGAACCAGGTTGACCTAGAAAGGGTAGATAAAGAATAGTCTCCTGTGGAAGAATATAGTAAGAAAAGATGGTTGAAGTAGAGCAAGTAAACTAATGGAAATGTTAAAGAATCTTACTGTGGAGGGATAAGATGATTAAAAGATAGGATGTATGGAAATATATATGGAAATTATAAGATACGAATAATGAGTTGGTGAAAGAGAGCTGAGGTTTAATGATGATGATAGAAAAGAAAAAAGATGTATGATTTAAGACTAAGGACAGTGGTATTTGGTGTCAAAGCAACTTTACGGAAGTTTAGTAATGTAGTTTAGGAAATTATGGGATGTACTTAGCTTATGTGTGAAAGCTTTTTTAGAAGTATAAATAATGATAAATTATTACACAATTATTATTACACAAGGTTTGCTTATTGGAATGTGTGTGTGTGTGCATACACACACACACGCACATTCCAATAAGCAAACCTTGATTTTGCCATCTTATACAAAGGACACCATTCCACTATGCCATTTTATTTAATGGGACTTGAACATTCATGGATTTTGGTATCAATGGGGGGTTCTGGAAAGAAACCCCAGCAAATACCAAGGGCTCGCTCTACCATATTTTATTTTATTTTAATAGTTTTAATTTGTTCCTTGGAACTGATTACTTCAATTTTTATTTGTAAGCCACCTTGCATCCCAGTTTTGGGTGGAAATTAGGGAATATAAAAAAGAATATGAAAAGGATACTAGAATTGAAAGATACCCAAAAGGGAGCAGCAGGAAACCCACAAGTACTTTATGCCTACGAGATGGGAATCCAAACTCTATTTAAAAACTTCCTTGAACTAGAAGTTTCCCAGGTTGTTCCACTATTGTACAGTTCTTATGTAATAAAAAGTAACACAAAACCTAGTAACGAAATATTTGCCCTGCTTCTTTAGATTAAATCAGAGCTCAGCAATAAGGATTTTGAACCCTACTTTCTGCTCAACACAACCACACAAACTCCCCAGGCCAGAAAAGCCAGTTTCACCAGTCACCTTCTTCTCTGACTTGTGGCTGTTTGAAAAGACACAGAGCTTTCATTCATTGCAGAAGATAATCCTGCCTACTGCAGCAGACCCAGATGTTACAAAGGCCAGATGTGTAAGCCAGCTGTGTCATGTAAAATGGTTTTTTAAGCCTGGAAGGCTGGGAGGGGAAAAGGGAGAAGATTGAGTGCCCCCATATTACTTGCCATTTTTGACCTAAACTCATTCTCCCTTAAGTCAATTTAACTGACTTCAGGAATGGCCTAAACATCCTAAAGGTGCCAGCTCCCCTGTTTTTTAAAAAATCTTGGAAGCTAAGCAAGGTCAGTCCTGGCAAGTACTTGGATGGGAGACCACCAAGGGATACCAGCTGCTGTAGTAGAATTTAAAGATATAGCTATGTTAGTCTATAATTAATATGTATATAGATTTTGTAGCATCACTGAGACTAACTGGAAAAAAAAGAAAAAAGAAAGAAGTTTGTAGCATGAGCTTTCGTAGACTTTAGTCTACTTCCTCAGACGCTATACATCAGAGGAAGGAACTGGCAAACCACCTCTGCGGATTCCTTGTCTAAGAAAACCCTGTTGTTGTTGTTGCTGTGCCCTTTCAAGTCATTTCCGACCCACGGCAACCCTAAGGCAAACCTATCAGGGGGTTTTCCTGGCAAGACTTGCTCAGAGGAAGTTTGCCATTGCCTTCCCCTGAGGCTGAGAGTATGCAACTTGCCCAAGGTCACGCAGTGAGTTTCATGGCTGAGTTGGGAATCAAACCCTGGTCTCCAAAGTCATAGTCCAACACTGAAATCACTAGGAAACATTAATAGGATCACCATAAGTCAACAGAGAACTTGAAGGTGTGTGTGTGCCTTCAAGTAACCTGTTGACTTTGGGTGACACCATGAATTTCATAGGGTTTCCAACTGATTTTTTTTTAATGGTGCACTCTGTGAAACTATGAATAGATCAAGGAATTCCCCAGGTGAGATCTCCAAGGGTCTGGCTCCTATCACATCATGATCGGCAGTTCCTAGTTTTGAAGCTTGGCCCTGACATCTTGAGGATAGTTCTGGGATAGTTCTAACCCGATTGTGTGGATTCTCAAGATGTTTTTAATGGTAGGGTTCCCAACTACTGACCGAAAGGTTAGAAGCTGCCTTGCCACTCAAAAAAATATATTTCTTTATGCTCACAGACAGCCATTGGCTTTGATGTACCAAAGGTCTTTGCCACCGTTGTGTCATTCTCTCTGTCTGGCATCACACATACAAGCAAGAACCGGACTTCTGCCCATTCAGCTTCTCTGAACAAACGCACTTATTCAGGAATAGGAGAAAGATAAAAATCACGGTGCAGAAGTGAGGTTATTTTCAAAGAGAACATCACCTATCTGTTTTGATCTGTGCCCAGCGCTTGGCCATGGGATTTCTCTCTCTATGTACTATAAAATGCCTTGTCTGTTATGGTATACAAATCCATATACTTGATCACCAAGTTATCAAAAGATTTGTGCTGTCGAATGGGACTAAAACAAAGACCTCAAGAAGGTTAATATAATCCATCAACTATTTTGCATATCTTCTGAAGAAACACATTAAGATTTCCATGCTTTTTATTCTAGTATGGAATGTTTCGAAACTGACCAGACTTGAGATCTACCCTTTCTAAATATTCTTTTCCAAGTTTACGACAAAACAAACAACAACACAGCCTTCCCCCACAAAAAAGTGCTACTGTTCCATTTTGCATGGAAGTGTGAAAAAAATTTACGAATGCACACACTACCACTCAAATGTTTGCTCCACTCAACTCATAATGACATTTATCAACACGAACCAGCAATGATGTGTGCATTTTCCAATATGAAATAAACTGTGTACTATAGAAGGAAATTGAAGACTGGTGTCGTGTGTTTTGAAAATAATAAATAAATTCACCTTTGCAGCTTATTATTTTCCGAGACATAGTTGTGTTAATCTGTCTTCATTTTAAAAAGAAGGGAAGAGAGGAACAACAGGGGGATGAGGGAAGAGGAGAAGAAAAGGAGGAGGAAGAAAAATCTGATGGCATCTTTAATACTGTTTTATTTTAGCATAAGCTTTCATGGATTACAAAGCACAAGGTATTACTTTCATACTTCAGAGATAACAGCCTAGCAGACCTGGATATTAGCTCTGACACTGCCAGAATGTTTTATGCTAAATCAGGCCTTTGAAGGTGTATGACTAGTGTTACAAAAAGTGGACTGAAATCCAGGAAAACTCATGCTAAAATAAATCGGTCTTCAAGATGCTGCCAGATTCCTCTCCCTTCCCTTTTTTCCTTTTTAATACTCCTGCATAGCTGGGAATATATTCCATGATGCCTGAATATGGATGGTACTCCTTCAGTGCATCTGAACAAGAAGACTACAATCTGTGAATGTTTTTTGAAAATAATTCTCTTAGTCTTTGAAAAGTTTTTTTTAACTTCAACTACTTGCCATATTGCCATGCTATGTAGGGGATTCTGAGGGCTTTAGTACAAAACCAAAGTGATAAATCTTTCCAAGATCTAGAGATTTTTCAGTCTCTTTTAGCTTGAAGTGCTAAAAATTGACCAAGCCAGTGTGGTGCAGTGGTCTGAATGATTGATTAGGATTCTGGGAGATCAGGGTTCAAATCCCTGCTCAGCCATGGAAACCCACTGGGTGACAGTATGATGTGGCAGTTAAAAAAGACAATGTGATTCTAGGTTGCATTAACAGGAGTATAGTGTCTAGATCGAGGGAAGTTATAGTGCCACTCTATTCTGCTTTGGTCAGGCCTCACCTGCAATACTGTGTCCAGTTCTGGGCACCACAATTCAAAAAGGATGTGGACAAGTTGGAGCATATCCAGAGGAAGGTAACCAAAATGGTGAAACATCTGGAAGCCCTATGAGGGATGGCTTAGAGAGCTGAGCATGTTCAGCTTGGGGACAAGAAGGTTAAGAGGTGACATGATAGCCCTGTTTAAGTATTTGAAGGGGTGTCATATTGAGGATGGAGCAAGCTTGTTTTCTGCTGCTCCAGAGAATAGGACCCGGAACAACGGATGCAAGCTGCAGGAAAAGAAATTCCACCTCAACATTAGGAAGACCTTCCTGACAGTAAGAGCTGTTGGACAGTCCCTTGGAGATTTTGGTGGACTCTCCTTCTTTGGAGGCTTTTAAGCAGAGGCTGGATGGCCATCTGTCAGGAGTGCTCTGATTGTGTCTTCCTGCAGGGCAGAAGGAGGTTGGACTGGATAGCCCTTGGGGTCTCTTCCATCTCTATGATTCTAACCCTTGGGCACATTGCCTTCTCTCAGCTTAACAGCCAAAAAAAAAAGAAGAAAAAAGGCAAATCTCCTCTGAAGAAATCTTGCCAACAAAATGCTAATAGAGGGTTGACAAGTCAGAAGACTTGAAGGCATATAACAATAACTTATCAGAGAACTACTCATTAAGGGAGTGGGAAATGTAGTAAGTAGTACAGTGGCTTTCACCCAAGAGCTGTAAGAGCCTCCCCTCTGGAAGCAGCCAAGACAATAATGTAGGCAGACTGTTGGTATCCAGCATTTTCTATTATCCGATTATCCGATTCCCTTCCACATACTAGGCCTGGTGAACATGGACGAGGGAAGTACCACCAAGGCTGTTAAGGTAGTTTGAATAAGAAATCCTACTTTGTAGCAGGTGTGCACCTTGTTACTTTCTGTTCAGTGTGGCTGGAATAGGGAGATTAGTGTTACCAGGGAAGATATGGAGGAAAAATATACTATAACCATTTTTGCTTAGATAATTTTCTCTCTCTCTCTCTCTAATTGCAAAAGGCTATGTTTTGGTGGATGGCTATACTGTCAGCCCTCTGTATCCACTGAATTTTTTATCCACAGATTCAAGCATCCATGGCTTGAAAATATTTTTAAAATATCTACATTCCAAATAGGAAACCTTGATTTTGCTTTTTGATATAAGAGATACCATCTTGCTATGCCGTTGTATTTAATGAGAATTGAGCATCCACAGATTTTGTTATCCATAGGAGGAGGTCCTGAAACCAAATGCCAGCAGGTACTAAGGGCCCACTGTACTGTCTAGCCAGACCTCCAGGAGGACTGAGAATCATAAAGCAGAAAGGTACGTACCTTAAAGGGCAACTAGTCCCACCCCTGCTAATACATATAGAGTCTCCCTTATCTGGAATTCCAAAATCCAAAACTGTCCACATGAGAGTCTGAGATAGTAACACCTTTGCTTTCTGATGGTTCAATGTACACAAAGTTTGTTTTATGGACAAAAATATTATAAATATTATGTATAAAATTACCTTCAGGCTATGTGTATATTGAGGCCTAAATACCCTGAAGTCTTGTCTGTCTGATTTTGTAAGCTAAGCATAGTCGCCTCTGGTTAGTACTTGACTGAGAGACCACCAACAAATACCAAGTACTGTAGGCTATATTTCAGAAGAAGGAACTGGCAGAACCTCCTCTGAATATTTCTTGCTTAAGAAAACCCTATGAAATTAATGGGGTAACCATAATCAACAGGCGACTTGACATACACACATGGTTATAAGGTGTATACAACACATAAATGTATTTCATGTTTAAACATGGGTCAGCTATTTCTTTCCCTCTCCCCCCCCTTTATATACACGTATTCCAAAATCCAAAGCATTTCTGGTCTAAAATTGACTAGTTTAATACTTTTTTAAAGGGTGGATGGGCTAGGGAATTGTTATATTATGGATGTTTTTTAATTTGTAAGCCACCCCGATTGCGCTGCAGAGGAGCGGGATAAAAACAAATTTTATTTATTTATTTATTTATTTATTTATTTATTTATTTAATAAGATTATTATTATTATTATTATTATTATTATTATTATTATTATTATTATTATTAAGCATTTCGAATAAGGGGGACTCAACTTACACTAGAGTAAACCTGACACATAAGTGTCCAACTGCTGGTTAAAAACTGGCTTCTGGGGCCATTGTTCCTTCTTCCAGATTTTTACAGTGCAGAGTAAATGGATAAAAATCACCTTAAGGGCAGACTGTGGGATTTTGCCTATCGCTCTCCAGCCACTAAAGGTAAGGACTTCCACTAATCCCTACCACTGCCACCAAATGTGAGGGCTTTCCTTTATCCACACCTCTGCCACGTAAGTAAAGACCTCCTCAATGCTCTCAAGGTTCCTATGTGAGCTTTGATTTATCTTCTATCTTTACTAAACACTACCACTCTTTATTAACTGCTGCAGCCAAGGACACCATGTCTGAACTCAACTTTCCAATATGCAGTGTTCCCAGAGGCAAAAGTGTATAATACAAAAATAATGATTTATTAAACAAAAATTGAACACATTACAGATCATCATCATCAGAACAGATCCATGATCTAAATCACATCTCTGAATCTTTCACACTTATTTCCTAGCTAACTCAGACCCTGACTCCAACTCTCTCCCATCTCTGATCTTAACCCTCCTTAACACTCAAACTCTTAAACTTTACTTGCTAATCCTTAAACAGACTGTTCTCTCCTTCCTGACCAACTGTCCTACTCCAGCCTTATTCAAATCCCAGTCAATTCCACTATTCTCTTCCCCACCCCAATAGATCCTTACTTTATATCATCTAACACACATTGTATACATAAGCATTTTACCGTGTGTCTAATAACACTGTTCCACATTGGCACGTTGTACCATGTTTTGAATTTTTTTCTGCTGTATTTTTAATTCCACTGTTGTGTTTTTTAAATGATTTTATAATTTTGGGAATGTAATGGTGTTTTAATGTGAATATTTTGTTTAACTGTTTTCTTATTTTTTTATTACTAGCTTTTTAGATTTTCTTTTAGCCTTTCTTGGTAAACCACACTGGGTCCCATGCTGGGAAAAAGACAACATATTAAATAAATAAATAGTAAGTTGGCGTGGTTTGTGTACAATATTCCATGGTCCCTTGTGGGGACAATGCGACCCTATTCTTGTCCAGCTTACAAAAAAATTCCTTTGTACCATACAAGTCTGGAAACACCAAAGCTCAAGATATCTGAGCTAGTATATCCACAGCTGCTCTTAAGCACTGCTAAAAAGATTACATTACTCAATGGCCTGCTAATTCTTTTAAGTAGAATTTAAACCTGACTCACTTAAACCTTTTGCTAATTTCTTGTAGAGTGGCCTAAAACTATCACAAGACTGTAACCAGCTTTCTCATAAAACTCCCTGCCAAGCTGTCTTTTGGCACCATAGAAATCACTGTACAAAACAAATAAGGACCTGTTAAAAATAATGTAATGACTAATGCATTGATCACTGAACTGGACTAGAGAAGCTTCTCTCATGATAAATCTCGTCAATTTTCAAAGGTGTTACATGATTGCCTCAAGCCTTGGGAAATTGTACAAAATTGGTTTTTCTTAAAATAATGGTGTGGTGGTAAACTTTGTTGTGGGGATGGTAGTCTGCAGGGCTCCCATGCAGATGCCCACCATCAACTAGCCAAATTTAGCAGTTTTCACCTCTGTCCAGAGCAGGTCAAGCTAATGGGCTTTAATTGCTCAGTACTCTACCCAAAATACAGGGATAGTCATGTTGACTATAAAGCAAAAGTACAAAATGCAAAGTATACACGAAGGTGACATCTTTATTAGGCCAACCTAAAGATGCAGAATACATACTGCTAGCTTTTCATGTCACCTGAATTTAGCACCCCAATATGACAGTGGTTTAATCTCAGTCCCCCCAAGATTGGAAAACAGTGCAGACTTCATAGCTCACTGCTCTACATGTGCATGTATCACATGCTGTCATTTCTGGGCTTCCAGGTTTCCTTTCCCCCTAATTTTTAACCATTTTCCCAATGTAATAACTCAGAAGCTTCCAGACTATCGTGGATTTGTGATCATTGTTGTCTCTGCTGTCAGTAATAGACTGGATGAGGGCAAACAAATTGAAGCTTAATCCAAACAAGACAGAAGTGCTCCTGGTCAGTCCTAAGGCAGATCAGGGAATTGTGGCTGTGCCTGAGATGGATGAGGTTACACTCCCCCTGAAATATCATAACTTGGGTGTGCTCCTGGACTAAACTCTGAGCCTGGATGCCCAAGTTTCAGCAGTGGCCAGGAGTGCATTTGCACAATTAAAACTTGTGTGCCAGCTGCACCCATTCCTTGAGACTCCAGATCTGGCTACGGTGACACATGCTTTGGTTACATCCCATTTGGACTACTGTAAGGCGCTCTATGTGGAGCTGCCTTTGGAAACTGTTTGGAAACTTCAGCGGGTCCAAAATGCTGTAGCAAAATGCTGACTGGAGCCAGTAATAGTGAGTATAACTCCTGTATTGAAATGGTTTCACTGGCTACTGGTTAGTTTCCGAGCACAATTCAAAGTGCTGGTCATGACCTATAAAACCCTACATGGCTTAGATCCAGACTATTTGAGAGACCGTATCTCCCCATACGAACCACCTGGAGCACCAAGATCCCTAGGAGAAGGCTTTCTCTTGGTCCCACCAAGGTGAGATGAGAGAGATCCCTTCTCAGTGGCTGCTCCCACCTTTGCAACTCCCTTCCATGGGAGGCTAGGCTGGCCCCTTCACTGCTGGCCTTTTGCCGGCAGGCAAAGACATTTTTATTTAAGCAAGCCTTTTAA